GTATCGGCAGTTCCTACTAAGTCTGATATCAGTGATGGGTAAGTTGCTGGAGGGGATTCTAAGGGTCAGGATTTACATGTATTTGGCAAGGCAAGAACTGATTAGGGATAGTCAACTTGGCTTTGTGCTAGGGAAATCATGCCTAAGTAACTTGACTGAGTTTTAGAAGAAGTGACAAAGAAGATTGGCAGAGCAGTGGACATTGTCTATATGGACTTCAGCAAGGCGTTCGCCAAGGTTTCGCATAGTAGACTGGCTAGCAAGTTTGGATAACATGCAAGGAGAGCTAACCATTTGGATACAAAATTGGCGTGAAGGTACGAGACAGAAGGTGATAATGGAGGGTTGCTTTTTGGACTGGAGGCATGTAACCAGCAGTGTGCCACAAGGCTTGATTCTGGGTCCACTGCTTTTTGTCATTTATATGTGATTTAGATGTGAATATTGGAGGAATGGGTAGTAAGCAGATGATACCAAAATTGGTGGTGTGGTGAACAGTGAAGAAGGTTATCTTGGTGTAAAACCGACCTTGATCCATTGGGCTGAGGAGTGGCAGATGGAGTTTATTTTAGATAAATGTGAGATGTTACATTTTGGTAAGGCAAAGCAGGGCAGGTACACTTAATGGTAGGGTCCTGAGGAAGTGTTGCTGAACAAAGAGTTCCTTGAAGATGGAGTTGCAGGTAGACAGGTAGTGAAGAAGGCATTTGTTACACTTGCCTTTATTGGTCAGTGCATTGAGTATAGGAGTTGGGAGGCCATGTTATGGCTGTATAGGACATTGGTTAGGCTACTTTTGGAATACTGCATTCAGTTCTGGTCTCCCTGCTATAGGAAGGATGTTGTGAAGCTTGAATGGGTTCAGAAAAGATTTACTAGAATGTTGCCAGGGTTGGAGGGTTTGAGCTATGGGGAGAGGCTGAATAGACTGGGGCTATTTTCCTTGGAATGTCGGAGGCTGAGGGGTGACCTTTATAGAGGTTTATAAAATAATGAGTGGCATGGATAGGGTGAACAGTCAAAGTCTTGTCCCCAAGGTAGGGGAATCCAAAACTAGAGGGCATAGGTTTAAGTTGAAAGGGTAAAGATTTAAAAGGGACCTAAGGAGCAACTTTTTCATGCAGAAGGTGGTGCGTGTATGGAACGAGCTGCCAGAGGATGTGGTGGTGGCTGGTACGATTACAATATTTAAAAGGCATTTGGACGGTTACATGAAAAGGAAGGGTTTAGAGTGCCAAATACTGGTAAATGGGACTGGATTAATTTAGGATATCTGGTTGGCATGGATGAGTTGGACTGAAGGGTTTGTTTCCATACTGTATGACTCTATGACTTAATGATTTCCAAATAAGGACAAAAATGATAAAAATTGAGTAATGAAAATGAATTATCAATAGAAAAGATTGGAAATGCATAGCATATTTATCAATAGCTGTAAATAGATAAGGTTCTGCTCACAACGTTGAGAAATCTTTCAGAGTAGACCTATCTGCCAAAGTCCCATCCACCTTCCCAGGTGACACAGAAAATTCCATGACACAGCTCAAAGAACAGCAGAGATCTTGTCACAACCTGTTTGACATTTATTCTTGAAGCAATAACATCAATAGTGGGTTACATTATTATCTTATTGCTGTTTCTGAGACTCTAATGTGCACAAATTGACTGCTATATTTGTCCACAAACAACATTGATTATAGTTTGTAATTAAGCAATTAAGATCTTGTGGCACACTGATAGTGTATCTACCTGTGGGCCAGAAGATCTGTGTTCAAGTCCCCCTTGCTCCGAAGATATGTTGTAACAAGTATGAACAGGTTGAATGGAAAATATCCAAAACATTAAGGTTTTAGAGTAGATTTGTAGCTCAGGTTGTGGATGTTGTGGTTGGTTGGCTCGCCAAGCTGGTTCATTGTTCCGCAGATGTTTCATTACCCTGCTGGGTAACATCATCAGTGCAGCGTCCAATGAAGCGCCGTGAGGTAATCCAGCTCAATGGACTCCAGAGTTTAAATACCAGGCGGGAAAACACAACGACGCTTCATCGGAGGCTGCACTGATGATGTTACCCAGCAGGGTAATGAAACGTCTGCGGAACAACGAACCAACTTGGCAAGCCAACCAACCACAATATCCAAAACATGTCTGAGCAGGTTGATTGAAATATCTGTTTTTAACATAAAATCAACTGTAGTTCAAATGGAATCAATTAGCTGTGAAAAGCTTAATGATGTCCTGACAATGTAGAAATGTTTAAGGGGTTCTTGTGGTTCGGTGGTAGTGTCCCTACATCCTGACCCAGAAAGCCTGGTTTCAAGTCCCTGCTCTACAAGTGTGTAATATTTCTGAACAGGTTAATTTCCAAAAAAAAACCAAGTAATTTGAGGGCTCAAGTCCCACATATTCCAAAGATGTGTCATACCACATCTGAACAGGTTAACTAAAAATACCTATAACTAATCAATAAATGTAAAATATTTTGGAGCATATTGAATGTTGTGTAAGTACATGGTCTTGGCTTTTCTTTACAAATACTGGTGAACCAAATGCTGTTTGTCAGAATTTACTGTTTTATTTATAAATATTGTTTCATATACTGTTGAATTTATTTTACAAAGAAACAAAAGAGTGCTGGACTAATTTGCTTATGTTATCAAATTGACCTGTTTCTGAATATTCATTGCACTGAGGGAGTTAGACGTGGAGCAAACGTTTAACACCTAAAGCTGCTACTACATAAATGTAGGCTATTATTTTCAAGTTTTAAGTACGAAGTCCCTCTATTTTGTTTTCATTCCTTCATACACTCTTAAAGGTGTTGATTCCAGTGTTGCCCTCAGGTGGCCATTCTAATGTATAAGACAGTACATTAGCCTAGACGTTCCAACCATGATGACATCACAAGAATGCCTATTCCTATCTCCATCAATTATGTGCACAAATGTACTGTCAAGAGAGTCCAATGGTTTCAGATTGAGAATTATAACTGCTATTCCTCTTCATAAATCAAAACTATCCAGGCCCGTTTTTGTCTTTGCTTTCCCAGCAAAGGATCATTTGACTCGACGTACAGTACGGACAACCTCTAACCTCGATGGTCTGTATGAGCCAGCTATTTAGTAACAACCAACTGAACCATAAGTGAGCCTAAACTTGTTTTCCCCTGCCCCCCCAAAAAGAAAAAAGTATTATTTTGTCTGGTAAAAAATTAAAATCTTAAGAACATCTAAACATTAAAGCCCACCCACATCTGGTTGTAACTGAGCCTGAAGAGATGTAGACAACCAATCTGCTCTCAAGAGGCAGGTCTGTCAATGGAAGCTTTTAAGGATCCCGAGTACCAATTTTAAATAGCCTTGGGAAACCAAGTAAATAAAGAAATAGTAAGAATTGCTTGTTTCTGTCAGATCCTTATCTTTTCAACATTGAATTTGGTCCAGGATGAGTGGGAGTATTTTCCACCCACACCAAATATCTACCTTACAACACCCCCCACCCATCTCAAACTTCCAACCGTCTCAACTTGAACTCTACATAGAGATAGTAAGAACTGCCGATGCTGGAATCAGAGATAACACAGTGTGGAGCTGGAGGAACACAGCAGGCCAGGCTCTCCTACATATCTCCTTCTCATACATACCTCCTTCTCATGCACATCTCCTAGACCTTGTCCGTCTTCTCCACCACCTATCCACCCCTCCCACCTCACTGACCAATCCCCACCACTGCCTACCTGCACTCACCTGTCACCATCCTGCCTACCTTCCTCAGCCCCACCCCTCCTCTCTATTTATTTCAGAGCCCCCTGTCCCCTCCCCTATTTCTGAAGAAGGGTCCCGACCTGAAACGTCAGCTTTCCTGCTCCTCTGATACTGCCTGGCCTGCTGTGTTCCTCCAGCTCCACACTGTGTTATCTTGAACTCCGCAAGTTTTGACGAGAGAGGTAAACTGATTTAAAAAAGGAGAATCATGACAGTTCAAGTCAGATAAGGGTTGGAAGGGAAGAAAATACTCAGTTATTGATAGCAAATTAGTCTTTCCTCATTTAGTATTTAAAATTCCTGGCATGTAATATATTTGAATATATTTATCATTATTCTTTAGCTACAATTATTAAAATGGTTAATTTTAACTCCAGGATAATCCATTGTACAACTTTGGTGAATTTTTAACTTTTAGGTTCACAGAGATCCAGAGGATCCAAATGTAAGTGTTTATACTTTGAAAATATTTGCAATAAAACAATTTTTTATCTTTGTTTATGAGTAAAAATGAAAGATAATTATAATTAGACTTGATCCCATATCCTCCTGTAGAGCATAATTGAGTCTTACCAGTTTAAGTTCAAGTACACTGCGGATGGACCAAAGCTGGATATTTTAAGGTAATAAACTGGATTTCACCAGTAGAAAGTGTTTCTATCTACACTCCCTTTATTTTGTTGTTCCTTAATGTTTGACTCTCAAGGAAATACAAACGATGTAACTTGTCAGCATATTAGTCCTGTATCATTCTGGTTAATTGGCACTCCAGAGCAAAAATATATATTCCCTCAGGGCAGTGCCTGCTCAAAATACAGTCTTAACAAGAGTCGATGCAGCTGAAACGTATTTTTAACCTCTTTGTATTCCGTCTTCAGGAAAAAAAACAAACATTCCATGTAATTTTTAAATTGACATGATACCTGTCTATTGATTTTTTTTTTCCGAGATTTGTGTGCATGAGCTCCTAAATCTCTGCTCCTTCACAATTCCTAGATCCTTAATATTTTATTTCAGAAAATACTGTGATCTAACTCTCTTGAGTGCACCACAGTCGAGACCTCACACCTATCCACACCCCACCAAAGCACATTTGAATCAAACTCTATTTCTAACATCTTGAACCACTTGCCTAACCTCTTTGCAGTTGCATCCCTTTGTTGTATGATCTAGCTGCTGGCAGAATTGGAGGATGCCCTGACTAGTCAGGAAACAAGTTCCTTGAGTCTTAAAATTTGAGTTCCATCTTATACTTGCCATGATTAAGAATCCGCAACTGAAGAAGCTATTTAATTTTTCACGTGAAGTGCTCTGATGCCATAAAAACGTATTTTAGAGAAAAAGAGTCAGTCACAGGTGAGGATTTTTTAAAATTGTTTACAAGGTCTGAAAAAATTAATTGCCTGCTCATCTAAAATTCTCATTTTTTTTCAAAGGTTCCTATTTAGGCGATTATGCATATGTGTTGCAAATTCCAAATCCATAGTTTTAAATATAAAGGAAGGTGAACTAACAGTAGAAAAACAGTGTAATAGACTCCTCTGCAAGTCTTTTCTTGGTAGTAAAAGTTCTGATACTTTGATTATGCACTAGAAGTTCATTTATAAAAAGCAAGGATATTCACCCCAAATTTATTTACATGTTTACAGCAAAAACAAGCAAGTAAGCCTTCAAGATACAAAGAAAGCCTCCATTCTGCTCATTCGTAAGCTGTTTGTCTTAATGCAGAGCCTAGAAATACTTCCTAATGATGTGTCTCTGACAATGAAACTCTTCTATTATGATGAAGGTAAATTTGATTTATTATTTTAAGAAATGTGCCAAACAGCATATGCAGCAAGTGATTAACAACAGTAAGCGATTCCATTAACAAACTGATCAGATCTAAGCGCTGCAGCCATTGTCACATCCAGTTGTGCATAGTGGTGGACAGTTAAATAACTCTCTGGAGAAGGAGGCTCCATAAATATCCCCCCTGTCAATGACGGAGGAGCCAGCATGTCAGTGCAAAACATGTTGCAAAAGCCTTAATCTTCAGCCAGAAGTGATAAGAGGATCTATCTCTGCCTCTGCCTCTTCTGTAGGTCCTGTCCATCACCGATACCAGTCTTCAGCCAATTACTCCACATGATATCAAGAAACTGCTGAAGGCATTAGATACTGAAAAAGCTAAGAGCCCTGAGAACGTTGCAGCAATAGGACTGAAGACTTGTATTCCAGAACTTGGCACACCCCTAGTCAAGCCAGTTCAGTTACAACCCTAACTATTTACTTGTTTCTTTTATATATGTTAAGAACTTGTATTTTCAAATCTGTCACTTTGGTGAATCTTTATTTTCCCAATGTGGAGTTTATTAGGAAACCTAAATTTGCCATTTTCACGCAAAGGCTGAGGACAACAATTCTTGGCATGCTCTGGAAGTTCTGCTGTATACATGAGGAGGAGAGACTATTTGCACTCTGCCTAGTGTTTACTGAGATTCTTTGCTCAGCAGTACTTCATAGCCATTGCAGAGATCAAGCAGGATGAACCCATCCCCAGAATTGTACACCTGCAGGGTGCTGGCGGCATGAAAACACGTGATGTGTTAATGAGTCAGATGACATAGTGCAGAAAAATAAGCTCCACGTATTAAAAGTGCTAGGATTAACTGCTGCTGACAAGACAGCTGAGTCTCCATGGTGCAACATAGTTCAAGAATCAGGAAGAAGTCCCAGGAGCCATTTTAATATCTCCATGCAGTTAGGATTCAGGAGAAGTCCAGGGAGCTGAGAACGTGGTGGGAAATCATTAGCTCTGTTTGGAACCTGGGAACCAGTGGTAGTTTAGTGCCACTGAGAGTAAGCATGTAGGAAGCCCACAAGCAGTATCTTGGTACAACTGGGAAAGATGAGTATACTGAATTCTGGGGAATCCAACTTAAATGAAGCTAGCTATCTGCACTAAAACTGAAATTGTGCCGATGAATATTGTTGGACTGCAGTCTTGGGAATCCAGTGGACAACAGTCTCACGGAGAGATTGAACTTGTTGTGAGCAGTCGTTGACGAAGTCTGATGGGGCACCTTTTAATGGAGTTCTGAAGCTGGGTCTTCAGTAAAGAAGAATTAGAATGCCTTGTAAACAAAATTTTAATGATTGTTACTGACAGTATAGGTCAGAACCTTCTGTGATGTTGCTGAGAAATCTGTGGAACCTGCTATTGGATGTGGTTTGGGTATTTGACCATTGTTTGTATGTTACCCATATTTACCTCCTTTTTAATTCTGGATGTTTATAGTTTAAGGTATGTATATATTTGTGTGTATATAATACACGTTACATTGTTTTAACTTTGACAAAAAAAACTTATGTTGTTTGTTAAAAACCATGGATTTTTGTGGTTTAATCTCTTAATCACTGATATCCCAAATTTTGTCTACTTTAAATACAAAGTATTCCAAGTTACTAGCTATAATGTAGTATAAACAGTCTAGTCATGGATTGTAACATAAGTTGTGGTCTCATCCAGGATTGTGACAATGCCTATTCAATTTAATGCCTCCATTTTAGTAAAGACTCAGGATTTTCAGCTATAGTGATCCTCCCCTAGATGTCCTACTATGGCAACAAAGGTGATCAAACAATTTTATAGGTTTGATCGTGTCACTGAGATTACTACAATATGATGTCATGCTTCCCACAGTAGTGAGAGATTCCTTTAAAAGAAGGGCCCTTAAAGACTAGCGGGCTGACAGAAAATCTAAGAGGCATAAATAAAGAAATGATGTTTTTGGGGTGTTTTCAGATGTTGCCTGCACCCAGGCACCCAGAGAGAAAGAGAGGTAAACTGGTAAGTGAAGCTGTTTGAGCATGAGAAATAAGAATAGCAGTACACCATGTGGTCCTTTCGAGCCTGTTCCACCATTCAATATGATCATGGCTGACCTCGAGCCTCAACTATGTTTTATTACCTACTCCCTATATCCCTTAAATCCTTGAAAAACCATAAATATTTTTAATGTATTCAGAAGTGAACACCCACTACCCTCTGGATTAGAGAATTCCAAACATTCACAATCCTTTGAGTGAGGTAATTTGTCCTCCATTTCTCCTTTCTAAATTTTTCACTTGCTAAAATTTAGTGACAATTTAAATAGCATTATGCACATCTGCATTTGGGAAATCCAGCCAGAAGGTAAATATTAGAATTTATGAAGTATGCCTTGTATTTTAATCTTCATTTAAAATGTTCATTACATAAATATTAGTTGAAAAAAAATCTTCATTTATTTTCTGCTTGGCAGTGACACCTCCTGAATACCAGCCGCCAGGGTTTAAACAAGGTGAGTGTGATGCTGTGTGGTTTGAGGGAACCCCAGTCCATTTTAAAGTTGGTGATGTGCCGACTCCATTCCATATGATGAAAGTGAGGGTCACCACAGAGAAAGAGACAATGGAACAGCTGGAGAAGGAGAATATGCTAAATGAGGAAACCGAAACTTCAGTACAAGGAATGGAGGAAGTCAAGTCCATACTGAACGTGAGTGCCAACACTAACTAGTTACTTATAACTTATTTTGGAATATTCCAGTCTGTACCACAGTGAGGTTCTACCAGAAACTAATATAACAAGAATGGATCTCTTATAAAAATTGATCTTGTTTTTAGATCAGAGCAGAATAGACTTGAAATATTTACGGTGAGACACCCAGAGCAACTTGTGACCTGCAGGAGTAGTGTTCTAAATTCCACAAGCATGCTTCATTGTTTATCATGTTTGACGTGTTGCAATCGGTGTCTCAACTGTTGTTTCTTTTGATCCAGGACAGAAATTCTCCATTCTACCAAAATATTACAGGTATGATCATTCCTAGCAGGTTAAAGGAAAGTATGAGCACTAGGCTAGTGCAACATTCAAGTTCCTGAACTATAGAAAATTTAAGAAGGTTGGTTATCCAGTGTAAGAAGAAACGGAATGCTAGCCTGAATTAATGAAGATGGCATAAAAATTTATTCGTGCTGAATCTGTTGCTTGGATATAAAATAAGTGTTAATACTGCAAGCACTGTGTACATCTTAATTTGGAGCTACAAGTATAACATACACAAAAATGATTGGCTCCTTAGGTATTCAGGGTACATCCCAGAATTGTTAAAATATCAAATTAATATATTTAAATAAGTTTGCCAAATTTAGTGTTGGTACTTATCAGGAAGGCTGTGCTTCCCTTCTTCAAGAGGTGTCACCAAATTTCTCAGAAGGGACATTACTTAATATTTTTACTATGATACTATAAATGTATCTTCAGTTTGTTATGCACAGCGCATATTGGAAGAGAGTGTTCAAAGTGTCCTCCAGCATTTTGAGTCAAAATGGCCATGATTCTCCCTCTTCCTATAATGGTCAGCATGCTTTCTTTTGATGAAGTGGTTTGCAGGTGAATTTGGAGTTCTCCACTGCTAACTCCTGCCTGGAGTTGTGCACAACTGGTAAGCCCATAGGGCTGAGAAATGCAAACATGATCAACTTTACTCATTTATTATTTTAATGTAGTGACATTGAAGATGTAGATGTGAGCAGAGAGTAAGAGAACAGTATTCAAATCTTGACAATTAAATATATATTGTGGCATTGCAATTGTGTCGTTTGAAAATAAGTTCCTGGCATTGATCCCTCAAAGGTCAGTTCCCACCAATGGTGCAGACATTGCCTAAAGAGTTTCCTCGCTCTCTCTGGCAGTTGTAGGATGTCTCTCTTCCTGTCCACTGCTTGGTCCAGACTCTTCAAACTAACATTTGAAAATCTGAGCACAATGTGCAGATCTGGCAACAATCTCTGAAGCCAATTGTTTCCCTAGAATCTGTATCAAGTTTGCTGTTCCCTTTGTCAGCAATGAAGGATACCTTTGCATCACCAGAGACGCATAATTTCCAACATAAGAAATAGGAATGAAAAACAATCATTCAGTCCATTTATTTCTTTACGGATCAAAAATATAGATGTGCAGATAATTGTCATCTCTATATAAGCAAGATGCTGCAAATAAAAACAGAAAATGCAGGAAAAACTGAGCAGGTCTGGCAGCATCTGGAGTTCTGAAGAGTCATCTCAGATTAAAACATGAACTGTTTCTCTCTCCACAGATACTGCCAGACTGGCTGAGTTGCCATCTCTATTCTACTTTGACTGTGTTTACAAATACATGAAGTGATAGCACTAGACCTTCTCAAAGCCTACGCACTTGATCTACACTAAATCTTAGCCAAATGGCACATTCTCCTAGAAGTGTGAAATTTAAGAAATATTAAAAGCACATTTTTCAGTCTTGTATATATTGGAACCTATATATATGGGTGATATACGGCAAAGATCAAATAAGTAAAAGTACGTAATTTTCAGTAAAAGAAGAAAAAAGACTGGATAATTTTTTTTTGCCAGAGCATCCAATCAAAGTAAATTCTATGAATAAAATTGTGATTGATACCTACAGGGATTGTGGATAGTGATAAAAATTGTTACTTTATATATACTAAGGGTAACTGAGTTGTCACAACCGTTGCAGGATAGCTATGCAACATTGTTCTGCATCATTGTAAACAATAATGTTAATATTCAGGGTAGTATTTCATTTATACCATAATTAGTTGAAAAATATGTAACCTTTGGCAATTTTTCATATTTTGGCAGCCCATTCTGAACTTCAGAGGAGTGTGACTAATGAGCAGTCATTCAGTGAGTCAGAGAAAGAGGTATTGCTGTTTTGTCATTTGTGAAGAAATTCAGTTAAATACTTTGGATGTCACAAGGACAAATTGAAAGAATTTTCATTTATGTATAGTATATAAAATGTAAAGTAAGCGTGTGTCATCGTTAAAATAAAAGTGGTCAGTATACAGTATTAGAATGCTTCCTCATTGTCTGGATCAACTGCTCTAAAATAGTGACGGAAATTTTCCCACGGTCATCGCTACCAAACTTCAAACAACAAGAAACATGTAAATTAGCTACACAGATTTAGGGTCCTCTTGTGGCGCTCTGGTAATGTCCCTAACCCTGGACTGGAAAGCACATTCTCAAGTCACACCTGCTCCAGAGGTGTGTAATAACATCAGATCACAACACATTGTACCTTGGTGATAGCGCAAAGAAAGTTTGCATGAAAAGCACAATTTCAACGGAGCATTTTGTCTGTTTTATCTCAGTATATTGTAATATTATGATATTCTTGGTTACAACTTGTTTCAGATCTTTAAATTTTAAATTGTTACATTACAGTGGCCCAAATAGTGATGTTGAAGTGAGAAAAATGAGTCTGATGGTGACTTCTAGTGTTCAAATGTGCAGTTAATCTTAGAAATTCTGATGTATCTGTCAGAGAGACCCTAAACTTTGAAAACGTGCACTAATGCAGTCCTCAGCAATAGATTTTTGCTGTTATTGCTATAATTACATAAATTTGGTCTATTTTACATTTAACTGGTACTAAACCCAGCTGAAAAGTTAGGACTGGTTCTGGGAGAGAAATCTCTTCATATGGTGCTGTTTGTAGAAAGTGATTCTAGAAGTGATTCTTTTTTAAAACAGTACCCAATATGATAGTCATTGCTGTAAGGTCTTATTCTTGCCAAAAAAGTTAATGTTGTAGTTTACTACAAAAATAGAAATTCAAATTTTGTTTGTTGTCTGTTTTCTTTTTCTTTTACTGCTCCATCTTAGTCCCAACTGTGTGTCAAAGTTTATTTAATTTTGTATACAATCATATAAATAAGCTTTCAGTTCATATTTTTCATTTCCTAGATTGTGATCTGCATATTTCAGTGTGGATGCTTCAATATGATTAGTTGCTGAGTCTTGCAGTTGTTTGCTTTGCTCATAGATACCATAAATATCCTGTAGAGGGCATTGCCCTGAATCAAATGCCAGAATAGTTAAAAATCTTTGCTGGCAAACTTGTGAAAACATTCTGGACAGCTGTACACAAGGTGAAACAGCAAAGCTGATGTTTCACCATTAAGAGCAAAGTGTATACTGCAGTATAAACTTTGTGCTTGTTTTATTAATACTCTTTCATTTCAGATAAAGCAATTGGTTGCCAAGGCAGCAGAGCTGGATGTGTCAGGCAAAAGATTAAAACTTAGAAAAGTGCTGGTCAGTATTCTGCAATATCTTATTTGAGATGTTTTCCCCTTTTGCACCTTTAATACTCAGTATTTCCAGGAATTGTGGTCCAACCTGAAGAACAGAGAAGTTATTAATAGTCCAACCAAGGAAAGGTGTTTTCACAATGAAAGGAATTTGATATTTGTTTCCTTCCACAAATCTGGGATGCATTGGGAATTTTCATGGTTGCATGGAGGCAGAACAGGGAGCAGTGTTGGAACATAGCTAGTCACATCCACTGCTACCAGATATGTTCACAGCTGTGAGCAATCTTGCATGAGGTGGAGTCACCACTGCAGAAGCAACCCACCTATGGTGGTGGGTAGCCAATTGGACTTAACTTTTCCCCAATTGGTCCGTGAATATGGTTCTGCTGGAATCTTCCAGCCGTGGACAGGCTTGCTGCTGAGCAGGCAATCAATATCTTCCGTCAATTCTTGACAGTTCAGCCTGCTGGGATGTAGCAACACCAACACAAACCATCCTGTTGAGGAATTTCTCCTCCAAATTGATGGCGTGTTAACTTTGACAACATGTGACTTTTGAATATAACTTGCATGACTTGTATTGTGCATTAAAAAAGTTGATCCTCAATGTAACCGTCTTTAATAACTCCAATTTGCTCTTTGGGTTATTGTTTTGAGAATAACAAAATTATTTAAGACAACGTCAAAACCAATGTACTATTTATGAAAAAAAATTAAATATTTAACTCCGTAATATTAATGTCAGTATTTTTGAGTTGTATTTGCTAATGGTTCTTACCAAACTGAATTCTTAGTGTATATGTAATTATTTTGCTGGGCTTTCACTGTTAGATGCAGAAAGATGACTCACAGGATAATGGCATAGGACATGAGGAACCTCAAAAGTTGAGCACTACACAGACCGTAAAAGCTGTTCGAGCTAAAAAAACTATCTCTGAACTTCATAAGGTGGGTAAAAAAATCATTTTATCAATTGTTCTGTTTGTTCAGTTTGCTTTAGTAGATAAATTTGTACATATTTAGATGAGCACTCATTCTTTACTGTTTACATGTGCATACTGTGCAGAAATGGTATATGGCGGAAGCAGTTTTCTGCCTTTAAGTGGTTACCCCATGAGTTTTCTTGCAGTTCTGTAGCTCTTATGCTGTACAGCTGCCAAGTGACCAGAGGCCTGATTTGGATATGTCAGTGGCACAGCAACAAGTTTTCTGGATTCGGACTGGTGCTGCACTTGAGTAAAGCTCCACAGTGTACTATGAGATCCAACCACTGTCAGGATTAGTTGTGTTCAAGACAGAGGTGAGGGGTTCATAACACAGAAGAAGTTAGAGATCTTTGGGTACAGAGCTTGCAAATAATATATTACTTTATATCTTATCTTTCCACTCTGCCTGCTATTCACTTGGACTTCTGGCAGATTTCATATCTCTTATTCCTCACCTCCATCCACAGTTATTTCAGAAATCTGTAGCATTCCCTATTGGCACCTGACAGTATCTCCTGTTCCATTTACAGCATACCTGAGGCACCTGACTCCAGTTGGTGTTTAGAACTACACTCAATTTTTTAAAGATCCTAGATAGTTATGAAAAGTGATTATCTCTTTTTTTTGTATTAGGTTAATTTCAGTACTGCTCTGAAATATTGCAGCATAGAAATTGTCCCCAGTGTCCTTAATGACAGTCTAATAGGGATGAACAGTTGTGTACACCTGAATGTACATCAAAATTGGCAAATGGAGGGAAATATGGAACATAACACAATTCCGTCATTTTCCTTTCCGTTTTCAATAAAATTGGGCCCAGCCTTGATCTCTGTTCCTGTCTACCAGAATTCATTGTTCTTGTATCTAAAAATAAATTTGCATCCAATATATTTTGCTATTTACTTATATTAATGGTCCATGTTGTGGCAGAAAAAATGTTCTTTACTGCTCATTAATGAGAAGAAAGGGTTTCACAAATACTTTTCTACTATATATTGTGATATTACAAAAAACTCACGGCTAGAGTTCTCATGCTGTCCATTTCTTGACAGGCAACATGTGAATCTGCTACGCTTCAAGAGAAGATTACAAAGCGAAGGAGGAAAAATTGAAACATGATCTGACAATATTGGGCACAATTCATAATTTGTGACAGCATTATTTAACCATTAATTTAGTTAGATTTTTAATATATTGAACTGCATGTCAACAAAATATATATTCACCCAGAAATTTAATTAGTCATTGTTGTTACTACTTTGGTTATATCTGTATAAAATATATTTGGAGTAATTCAAATGAAATAAAACATTGTAGTCATGTAGGGTTTTGTCAATTTCTTAAACTTTACAAGAGTAATTTCTTGTGATAAATACTCCCAAGTTAGAAATTTTCCAGCATTAGCATTTGGGAATTAGGAATAATTGATGATAATAATCAATTTAGAATCATAGAATCTTTACAGTGTGGAAGTAGGCCATTTGGCTCATCGAGTCCACACTGACCCTCCTGAAGAGCATTCCACCCAGACCCAGCCCCCTACCCTATCCCTGTAACTCAACATTTCCCATGGCTAATTCACCTAGCCTGCACATCCCTGGACACTGAGGGCAATTTAGTATGGCCAATCCACCTAACCTGCACATCTTTGGACTTGGTCTGAGGTTAGGCAGTAATTTAAACCATTACATTTGAGTTCAAGTAGTCACTTTGTCATACAGTACTTGAGTTTTGCTGAAAAAGGAGACGTACTGTTGAAGCTTTTCATTTTGAACTTAATCAGGACAAACACAAGAATACAAAATTGGTGCTGATTAGTTTGCAAATAAATTTTATTGATAGAAGCAGTACCCATCATATCTATGCCAGACCACTGCCGATGCAATTTGGCTGGTTCCACCCCTGCTGTTTTTCACTATCTGTTCTGTCAGGACTATATATGTCTTTGAACACCAAACTGCCAAATCACATCATTTGTGATGCAATGTCACAGAATGGTTACAGCTCAGACAGAGGTCATTCAGCTTGTTGTGTTTGTGCTGGTCCTCTATAGGAGCAACTGGCCTAGTTCCACTTCTCTGCCTTCCCTGTAACCCTACAAATGTTCCTTTTTGGATAATAATCCAATTCCCTCATGAAAGCCTCAACTGAGTCTGTTCCATCACACACTCTGGTAGTGCATTCCAGATCCTACCCACTCACTGCATGAAAGAGTATTTTTCCAATGTCTCATTTCTTTTGCCAATTACCTTAAATCTTCATCTCCTGGTTCTCAATCCTGCCAACAATGGGAACGGGTTTCCCTCATAAAAAACCACCGTTCACCATTAGCTCGTTTCCTGTCACGCAGCCATTTTCATATCCATGTTGCTACTATCTTTTCTATTCCATGAACCCTATCTTTGCTAATCGTTGTGTAATGCTTTATCAAATGCATTTTGAAAGTTTCTGTGCATCACCTTAAAGCATTACCCTCATCACGCTCTGTTACCTCATCAAAACTGAAGCAAATTAGTTAAAATGTGCCCTTAACAAGTCTGTGCTGGCTTTTTAAATTAAACCACTTTTCTCAAGTGACTTCACCTTGACTTGAATTATTGGTTGTAATTTGCCCCTCTTTCAACCAGTCTGGGCAATGGCAAGAAAGTTGGAAAAATACAGCAAATGAGAATGTCAGAATTTCGACATAGAGAAAAAAAATCCAAATTTTCACCTATAATTAAATGGCAACTATGGAATCTTGCTATTGAGCAGCAAATACCCTATTTCTATGCATTTGCAACTCATTATTAGCCCAGTTCACCTTATTTATAGCTAATTTCTATTCTTTCCTTCCCAAGAAACTAGGTGCTGCAAATTCTCAACATGTGAGTCAGAGAGGGTAGCTGGTGGTTGCAGCATGATAATTGTGCCCCCCAACTGTCATCAAGCAATGACTTCATCACAATATCCCTGCATGCTTCATGGCCACCATCCTCCTCCAATCAGCATTCACGCAAGTTGGAGTATCAAACCATCAGCTTCACCACATCATCATGTATTCCCTTGGACCAACTCATACATTACTTCAGCCCTTTAACACTTTGGAGTGTAAAGACACCTACAACTTTGCCAGGTCACATTGCGTCCACACAGCATACATGTTTACTTGTTTTCTTAGTGCTCTCTTTCCTTCCAGCCTCTGGCTTGCAGTGGTTTTCATGCAGTCATAGAATCCCCACAGTGTGGAAACAGGTCGTTCAGCCAATCACGGCAGCCCCAACCCTCCAAAGAGCATCCCACCCAGATTCAGAACCCTCCTAACCTATTTCCGTAACCTCATGGTCACCATGCTAACCCACATAGCCTGCACTTCCCTAGACACTACTGGGCAATTTTACCATGGCCAATTCAACTAATCTGCACATCTTTTGACTGTTGGAGGAAACTGGAGCAGCCAACAAAAACCTCACATGGACACGGAGAATGTGCACACTGCACACAGACAGACACTCCAAGACTGAAATCGAACCCTGGTCCCTGGGACTGCAAGGCAGCAGTGCTAACCACTGAGCTACTGTGCTATTCATCAGAGTGAGAGGTAAACAGCTTGACACAGTGGGGAGCGATGAATGTGTTTCTGTGCAGCACTGGACTATATCAACATTATACCTGCAGCCTGTGCCAGTAGCTTGCATGGCAAACACCCTGCATGTGCTTCAAGCAAATGGCAATGTGTGCAAGTTAAAGGGGATCAGTCCTTTGTGGCATCAAGGACTGCTGCCACAGTCAGTCAAAGGACATGTCAAATTCCAGTACAGGAAATTGGCCATGGTCCGTTAGGAATTTGATCTTAACAGAATCCAGGCATCCGTTACCTTTACAGTCCAAAGACTGGCCATGGTAAATTCTGCAGGTCAAATGCAATTAATCTGAGGATTATAGGTAGATCAGTCAGTGTCCTTTGGAGATGTAAATGGTTGGGACAATTTTTCAAACAGTGACAAAAGGGAAAGTATTGAGTATGATGGAAGTGGGTAGGACAGAAGTTAGTGGTGGTGCAGGAGTAGGAGAGATTATGAAGTGTCCTAGTGAGTAAGAGGCAGGAAGGATTAGTAGTTTGGGAGGATGAGGTAGGTGAAAGCTTTTGAGTGGATATGATGCATGCAACAGTGAAAGTTATAGTCCATGAGCTTGGCAAGATGAGTTGCAGTGACAGAATTAGAATGATTGGTAGCCCTATGAGTGAAAAAGCAAAGAAAAAGAACATAGAACAGTACAGCACATTACAGGCCCTTTGACCCACGATGTTGTGCCGAACCTTTACCCTAATTCTAAGATCTATCTAACCTCCACCCCTACCTTATACTATCATCCATATGCCTATCTAATAGCCGCTTAAATGCCCCTAATGAGGCCGACTCCACTACCCGCTCCGGCAATGCATTCCACGCCCCGACCACTCTCTGAGTAAAGAACCTACCTCTGACGTCTCCCCTATATCTACCTCCACTCACTTTAAAACTATGCCCCCTTGTAATAGCTACCTCCACCCTAGGAAAAAGTCTCTGGCTGTCTACTCTATCTACACCTCTGATCATTTTGTACACTTCTATCAAGTCACCTCTCATCCTTCGTCATTCTAAAGAGAAAAGCCCTAGCTCTCTCAACCTTTCTTCGTAAGACCTTCCCTCCATTCCAGGCAACATCCTGGTAAATCTCCTTTGCACCTTTTCCAACGCTTCCACATCTTTCCTGTAATGAGGCGACCAGAACTGGACACAATACTCCAGATGTGGCCAAACCAGGCTTTTGTATAGCTGGAGCATAACTTCATGGCTCTCGAACTCAATCCCTCTATTAATGAAAGCTAACACACCATACGCCTTCTTAACAACTCTATCCACCTGGCTGGCAGCTTTCACGGAACTGTGGACATGAACCCCAAGATCCCTCTGCTTCTCCACACTGCCAAGAATCTTTCTGTTAACCCTGTATTCTGCTTTCAAATTTTTCCTTCCAAAATGAATCACCTCACACTTTTCAGGGTTAAACTCCATCTGCCACTTCTCAGCCCAGCTCTGCATCCTATCAATATCCCCTTGTAACCTAGAACAGCCCTCCGCACTGTCCACAATGCGACCCACCTTCGTATTGTATGCAAACTTACTAATCCACCCCTCCACTCCTTCATCCAAATCATTTACAATGATCACAAATAGAAGAGGACCCAGAACAGATCCTTGTGGTACACCACTCGTAACTGAGCACCATGTTGAATATTTTCCGTCCACTACCGCCCTTTGTCTTCTAAGGGTCAGCCAGTTCTGAATCCAATCTGCCACATTTCCCCCTAACCCATGCCTCCTTACCTTCTGCATGAGCTTACCATGGGGAACCTTATCAAACGCCTTGTATACCACATGTATACATGTATATCCATGTATACCACATCCACTGCTCTACCTTCATCCACATGTTTGGTCACCTCTTCAAAGAATTCAATAAGGTTTGTGAGGCATGATCTACCCCTCACAAATCCATGCTGACTATCACGAATCAAACTGTGCCTTTCCAACTGATCATAAATCCTATCTCTTTTTTTCATATAATCACAATCACAAAAGATTGTGGCACTCACCCTTGTGGAGTACTTGTGAATCATTAACTTTCTCCCAGCAACTGGTGGCATCGCCTCCTTTGGCAGTCAATTTGAACGCCTCAAGTTCCCTGCAATGGTGAGCAAACCTGCCTCTCATGCCACATAAGTGCATAAGAAGGGTGCTGAAGAGTACTATTATGAAATTATTGAGGTGAAGAATGGAAAGTGACATGAGCGAAGACACCGAATGTCAGCATGGACTAGGTACCATGCATCTTACTTGACAAAACACTTTAACTGAAAATGGAACAATTTAGTAGATTGTTTCTAAAAGTTTCTACAACTAGGTAATAATTGGTCTGTAGTTGCTAAGTTTAACTTTTATACTTTGTTGAACAAAAGTGTAATATTTATACTTCTCCAGTTGTCCAGCACCACCTCTAAATCTAAGGAGATTGAAAATTTATATCCACAAATTCCACTCTCCTTTTCTTCAGCATCCTTGGATGCATTTAATTTAGTCCTTGTGCTTTCAGAACTTTTAAGTACAAACAGCCCCAGTAACATAATATTTAATACCTCAATAATGCCCTCTCTGTATAAATCCCCCTTTTTGTTTCTAATTTGTTCCATTCCTCCCTCTCATTTATATGCCTGACAGAAGACCTTTGTATTCCCTTATCTTTATTCCTAATATTTTCCTATACATTTTCAATATTAATCTTCTATATTTAGCCTGGTTCTCAATTGTATTATCCACATGATATCTGTCATAAGCACAACTTTTTCCCTGCTTATTCTTAACCCCTATCCTTTTCATTATTCAGGGAACTCTGGATTTGTTTGCCCAGCCTTTCCTCTCAAAGGAATATTCCGTGACTGTATTTGAACCATGTCATCTTTAAAGTCAGCTCATTGTTCATTTATAGTTTTGCTAATCTTTATCTGGAGTCCGGGACTGTTTTTAACCAGTTGAAGTTGGTTTTCCATCTGCTTAATTAATCTTATGCTGGATTGCTCTGTGTGTTTTTCTGTGGTCAGTGTAAACCTTATAATATCATGATCACTGAATCCTGAATGTTCCCCTTTGGAAATTTGAGCAACTTGGCCTACCTGATCCCCAAGGTGCAAAATCAATAATGCCTTCTTTCATGTTGGACTGGAAACATAGTACTGTTGAAAATTCACCCAAGCATACTCAAGGAACTCTTGACTGTTTCTACCCTTTACAGTACTACTACCCCACTGTAAATTCAGATTATTAATATTTAGGAAAATAAAGTGAAGTAAATGGCTTGTATTAACCAGAAAATTAGAATTACGCAGAATTCTCTACTGTATTTTTTGTTGGTTATAAGCAAAGACATCCAGCTGAGAGGAGCAATTATGTCAATCTCATTCTTGCTACATGAAATGTAGTCTTAAGTTAAAAACAAAGAATAAGAACCTTTAGATGAACTTCTGTATGTTTAATAATTGACAGACTTCTGTTGCAGTGAGTGGCAGAACTAGTTGTCATAGTCCATATTTGGAGCAGTAACACATGAAAGAGTTGGCAGGTAGTTCCTGCAAAGCCATTATCTCATGTTAGGAGCTAAATTTTAAAGCAGTGCCTCAAGAGTAATACATTCATGGCTCTAGGGTGCTGCGAGGCCTGACAGGATGTGCTGTGCCTATTGACATGGGTGCAAGAGTTGCTGAAACCAAGTTTATCTTTAAGTATCGGATTTCAGAGAGAATTTCAATATCCTTTGCTATACGAATAGGGCTATTGATCTTACGAATGTTATGTTGATGTAATTTCATAGGATGGAATGCGATTAAGGAAAAACGGGAATAAGAAGTTTAACACAGTTTTGAATGGATCAACTGTAAATCAGGCACTATATAAATGGCAAACTCAAATTAATTATTGCAAATATAGGTAAATTTTATAAGGAAGATGTTATTTCACTCTGATTTTTCTTTGGAAACAGTAATATCCTGACATTCAGATGCTATCATTGACGGAGATAACTCTTCAAATTATAAACACAATTTTTATATTATTATAAGCAGTTAATAGTTGATATTGAGGACATAATGAAGGTTTTATATGTTACGAAAATATAAATTGTCATTTTGAGAAATGCAGTGAGCAAATACACTGTAAAATTCTGATTAGTTTAGGCAGCACTGCGTTGATCAATCTCATGTTGTATTGTACTTTGTCTCAGCACTTTGTGCAATGAGTGAAAATGTCAGCCAGGGTTTCACCTCCTGACTGCCAGAAAATATGTTAAATGGAACCTTGGCTTTTACTCAGCTCTATACTGCTCTTGCTGTTAACATTCACTTTTCAATTCAGGCTCACACATGAAGAGATAGTAGGAACTGCAGATGCTGGAGAATCCGAGACAACAAGGTGCAGGGCTGGATGAACACAGCAGGCCAAGCAGCATCATAGGAGCAGAGAGGCTGACGTTTCGGGCCTAGACCCTTCATCAGAAAAGGGGGAGGGGAAGGGGGTTTTGAAATAAATAGGGAGAGAGTGGGAGGCGGATAGAAGAGGGATAGAGGAGAGGATAGGTGGAGAGGAAACAAACAGGTCGAAGAGGCGGGGATGGAGCCAGGAAAGGTGAGTGTAGGTAGGGAGTTAGGAAGGGGATAGGTCAGTCCAGGGAGGACGGACAGGTCAAAGGGGCGGGATGAGGTTGGTCGGTAGGAGATGGAGGTGCGGCTTGAGGTGGGAGGAGGGGATAGGTGGGAGGAAGAACAGGTTAGGGAGGCAGGGACGAGCTGGACTGGTTTTGGGATGCGGTAGGGGGAGGGGAGATTTTGAAACTTGTGAAATCCACATTGATACCATTGGGCTGCAGGGTTCCCAAGCGGAATATGAGTTGCTGTTCCTGCAACCTTCGGGTGGCATCGTTGTGGCACTGCAGGAGGCCCAGGATGGACATGTCGTCTGAGGAATGGGAGGGGGAGTTGAAATGGTTCGCGACTGGGAGGTGCAGTTGTTTGTTGCGAACCGAGCGTAGGTGTTCTGCAAAGCGGTCCCCGAGTCTCCGCTTGGTTTCCCCAATGTAGAGGAAGCCACACCGGGTACAGCGGATGCAGTATACCACATTGGCAGATGTGCAGGTGAACATCTGCTTGATGTGGAAAGTCTTCTTGGGGCCTGGGATGGGGGTGAGGGAGGAGGTATGGGGGCAGGTGTAGCACTTCCTGCGGTTGCAGGGAAAAGTGCCGGGTGTGGTGGAGCTGGAGGGGAGTGTGGAGCGGACGAGGGAGTCACGGAGAGAGTTGTCCCTCCGGAAAGCAGATAAAGGTGGGGAGGGAAAGATGTCTTTGGTGGTGGGGTCGGATTGCAGATGGCGGAAGTGTCGGAGGATGATGCGTTGGATCCGGAGGTTGGTGGGGTGGTACGTGAGGACGAGGGGGATTCTTTTTTGGTTTTTATTGCGTGGACGGGGTGTGAGGGATGAGGTGCGGGAGATGTGGGAGACACGGTTGAGGGCGTTCTCGACCATCGAGGAGGGGAAGTTACGGTCCTTGAAAAACGAGGACAACTGAGATGTACGGGAGTGGAATGCCTCATCCTGGGAGCAGATGCGGCGGAGGCGAAGGAATTGGGAATAGGGGATAGCATTTTTGCAGGAAGGTGGGTGGGAGGAGGAGTATTCTAGGTAGCTGTGGGAGTCGGTGGGCTTGAAATGAATATCGGTTTCTAGGTGGTTGCCCGATATGGAGACAGAGAGGTCCAGGAAGGGGAGAGAGGTGTTAGAGATGGTCCAGGTAAACTTAAGGTTGGGGTGGAAGGTGTTAGTGAAGTGTATGAACTGTTCGAGCTCCTCGTGGGAGCACGAGGCGGCACCGATACAGTCATCAATGTAACGGAGGAAGAGGTGGGGTTTAGGGCCGGTGTAGGTACGGAAGAGGGATTGTTCCACGTAACCTACAAAGAGGCAGGCGTAGCTTGGGCCCATGCGGGTACCCATGGCTACCCCCTTTGTCTGTAGGAAGTGGGAGGAATTGAAAGAGAAGTTGTTGAGTGTGAGGACGAGTTCGGCTAAGCGGATGAGGGTGTCAGTGGAGGGGGACTGGTCGGGCCTGCGGGACAGGAAGAAGCGGAGGGCCTTAAGGCCATCTGCATGGGGAATGCAGGTGTAGAGGGACTGGACGTCCATGGTAAAGATGAGGTGTTGGGGACCGGGGAATTGGAAGTTCTGGAGGAGGTGGAGGGCGTGGGTGGTGTCACGGACATAGGTAGGGAGTTCCTGGACCAAGGGGGAGAAAATGGAGTCGAGATAGTTGGAGATCAGTTCGGTGGGGCAGGAGCAGGTGGAGACAATGGGTCAACCAGGGCATTCAGGTTTGTGGATTTTGGGAAGGAGATAGAAGCGGGCAGTACGAGGTTGGGGAACGATGAGGTTGGAGGCTGTGGGTGGGAGGTCACCTGAGGTGATGAGGTTGTGGATGGTTTGCGAGATGATGATTTGGTGCTCAGGGGTGGGGTCATGATCAAGGGGGCGGTAGGAGGAGGTGTCGGAGAGTTGGCGTCCGGCCTCGGCGATGTAGAGGTCAGTGCGCCATACTACAACTGCGCCTCCCTTGTCCGCGGGTTTTATGGTGAAGTTGGGATTGGAGCGGAGGGAGCGGAGGGCTGCACGTTCTGCGGGGGAGAGGTTGGAGTGGGTGAGAGGGGTGGAGAGGTTGAGGCGATTGATGTCACGACGGCAGTTGGAGATGAAGTGGTCGAGGGAGGGTAGGAGGCCTTGGGGTGGTGTCCAGGAGGAGGTGGTGTGTTGGAGGCGGGAGAAGTGGTCAGTAGAGGGAAGGTTAGGCTCACAGTTGAAGAAGTAAGCACGGAGGCGGAGGCAGCGGAAAAACTGCTCTATGTCCAAACGTGACCGGTATTTGTTGATGTGTAGGTGGAGGGGGACAAAGGTGAGCCCTTTACTGAGGACTGACCGTTCGTCCTCAGTAAGGGGTAGGTCTGGGGGGATGGTGAAGACTCGGCAGGGCTGGGTGCTGCTGTCTCCTCTGGAGGTGCTGGCTGTGGAGGCTGTGGGCGGAGCTGTGTCGGCGTCGGCTGTGGGCGGAGCTGCGTCGGCGGTGGGCGGAGTTGTGCCGGTGTCGGCGGTGGGCGGAGTTGCGCCGGCGGTGGGTGGAGTTGCGTCGGCGTCGGTGATGGGCGGACCGGCGTCGGAGGTAGGAGGAGCGGGGTAGTCTCCCCTCCCCCAACCGCATCCCAAAACCAGTCCAGCTCGTCCCTGCCTCCCTAACCTGTTCTTCCTCCCACTTATCCCCTCCTCCCACCTCAAGCCGCACCTCCATCTCCTACCGACCAACCTCATCCCGCCCCCTTGACCTGTCCGTCCTCCCTGGACTGACCTATCCCCTTCCTAACTCCCCACCTACACTCACCTTTCCTGGCTCCATCCCCGCCTCTTCGACCTGTTTGTTTCCTCTCCACCTATCCTCTCCCACTCTCTCCCTATTTATTTCAAAACCCCCTTCCCCTCCCCCTTTTCTGATGAAGGGTCTAGGCCCGAAACGTCAGCCTCCTGTGTTCATCCAGCCCTGCACCTTGTTGTCACACATGAAGAGTATGCTCTTGGATGAGGCATTGAGATTGCTGCTCCCTCTGACACTGTAGCACAAGAAAAGTCAATGAAAATGGAAGAAAATTTAAAAATAATTACTGAATGCATCTTGATTTAACAGTAAGAAATTCCTAATTTAAAGGTAAATTTATTCTATGGTGTATTATCTGCCTTAAGTTTTTTAATTAGATGATAGAGATGTATACATGAAGTTAAAATATGGCTGGTTGCCAAGAAGTACGTTGTGATGTGAAATCTCAATTGAAACAATATCGGGCAACTTTTCAATTTGAAAGTTCCAGGATGCTTTGAAACAGTGGCTTAATTTCTTGAGTAAATAAACTTCTGTCAGTACCAAATATTAATTAATAAATGCTGACGTACATAACTTCACATATATAGAAAAAACAAATTGAATTGCCATAAAACTTCCTATTATTTCAGGTCACTTCAGCTTGTGATTACTTTTTAAACAGGATTCTTTTACGTTTATTATTTTTTATATACTTTGTGCTTTCAAACCTACATGAAGTTGATAGGAATATCATAGATACAAATGTGTTTCTTATGCAGAAGACTGCTTACCAGTATACAAATTGATTTGTAATTTTTTTTATTTATATGTTATACTTTGCCCTTTCTTTCTTTTGATTGGAACATTTTGCACCATCCCTGACTGAAAGATCAGGCAGGTGATCTGCTCAGGTCGCTTCTGCTTTATGACCAATTGAATGGTGAAGCAGAGTCAATGGGCCAAATGGCTGACTTCTGTTCTTATATCATATGATTTAATTGTGTATGTAAACGTCAGCAGCTTCTGAAAACCATTCAACCTGATTCTGGGATAGTAGGAACTGCAGATGCTGGAGAATCCAAGACAACAAGGTGCAGGGCTGGATGAACACAGCAGGCCAAGCAGCATCATAGGAGCAGAAAGGCTGACATTTCGGGCCTAGACCCTTCATCAGAAAAACCTGATTCTGTGTTTTGTTATATGTGGGTCACTGATATTTAATTTTATTATTAGGTAGCTAGGTGCTCTGTATTTACATATCTTTGAGACCAGAGTAAATGATGGATGAGATACTAGCATTGACGAAAGAAAAAAGAAACACACCCTAGTATGATGAAATTTTTTAAAACGCATGTAGACAACAGTACTAATTTTATGTAGACCATTTGTTAAACCACAGTAAAACTTGGTATTTGGTTTTGGATGACTTTAGGAAGGATATATTAGTCTTGGACAAAATTTATTGACAATAACAAAGATGTTTCCTGGGACTAAGGGACTGAGTTTGAGAAATTAGAAAAATTAGGATAATTAAAATAAAAGAGAATGATGTAGTGAGATGAGTAATGAAGTATTGGAGCAAGATAAAAATCACAAAATTAGAGTTTTGGAGCAGGAGGTGAAATATGCGACAGACAGAAAGGAAGGAATAACAAAGGATAGTGGATGTATGAAAGACAAAGTAAAATATTGTTTGAAAGAGGCAGTGACACTATGGTTGACAGAACATAAATGTGAATTGTATATTGATCCAAGTTGCGGGAGTCCTTAAGAAAGGCAAATGATGGATAAAATATGATACCCCAAAGTAAAGAATACGCTGAAATTGATGAGTACTGGAAAAGTTCCAGGCACAAATGAAATAACAACAAAACATCTAAGACCTTGGATAAGCAAAATTAGAATTGATAACAGAGGTTAGATATTAAATATCTCCCAAAAGATACATTCTAAATGACTTGAGGCCCTCCCTATTTTTTAATTGGCTAAGAATCATCATAGAATCCGTACAGTGTGGAAACAGGCTATTTGGTCCACTGAATCCATACCGACCCTCTGAATAACATCCCACCCAGACCCACTCCCCCAACCCTTTAACCCCGCATTTCCCATGGCTAACCCACCTAGCCTGCACATCCCTGGACACTATGAGAAATATGGCATGGCCGATCTACCTAACCTGTATATCTTTGGACTGTGGGAGGAAATCAGAGCACCTGGAGGAAACCGTCGCAGAATGTGTAACCTCTACACAGACAGTCACCCACGGCTGGAATCGAACCTGGGTCCCTAGCACTGTGAGGCAGCAGTGCTAACAACTGAGCCATTGTGCCACAAGAAGCCTAAAGCAACAGAGTGTATTCATTCTAGAACTATAAGTTTAATAAGTCATTTCATTAAAGTGATCTTCACAATCATAATAGAAATAAATAACACATTTAAAGCAGGCATTGGTGAAACAGTCTGTATTTAAATGGTCTGGTGTCAGAACATGAGGGAATATTTTACCAGAACAAACTTTAAAAATGTAATCAATAACTTGTGCTTTGTAGACTACGAATAACATTCAATCGTGTTTATCATCAAAAGTTATTAGACGTGTTGTCGAAATGTAATATTGCTAGTAAAGATGTGAGAACCTATATTGGGACCAACTAGAATGTATCAGCCTAGAAAAGGAACGATCAGAGACGTTTCAAGAAGTAGTACAAGAAAGCTCAGTACTGTGGCTAAAACTATTCAAAGCAATAGAGAAAAGCTATTGAGATCACTTCTAGAGAACAAAGTGAAGGGCAGCAGAAAGAGTTTACCTTGGTGTAACTGGATGATTGCAGGGTGGTGGGTGATGTTGTGGACTTCCAGAGCAGGCAGCTGATATTAAACATCATTCAGTATTTCTGGCTAAAGCTTGTTGCAAATACTTCAGCATTTTCTCTGGTATGTGTGCTGGGCTCTCCATAATGGAGAATGGAATATTTGTGGAACTTCCTTCTCCAGACTTGTTTAATTGTCCATCACCGCTTACACCTGAATGTGGCAGGATTGCAGAGCTTAGATGTGATTCATCGATTCTGGAATCACTTAATCCTGTCTACCTCTGCTTTTGTTGTTTGGCATGCAAATAGTTCTGGGTTGTAGTTTCATCAGATTGACACTCATTTTTATGGAGGCCTAATGCTGCTCCTGGCATGCTCTGCACACTGCATTGAGACAAGATTGATTCCTTGGCTTGACAGTAATGATTGAGTGGTCTACAGTCAGGAGGAAGTTACCATAGGAGTCAATATTTACATTAGATCTTACGAGATCTCATGACATCAGATTAAATACAGGTACCAAAACCTCTTGATTACCACGTACTACCCCAGCCCCTCAGCTGATGAATCAGTACTCTACCATGTTGAACTCCATTTAGATGAAGCACTGAGAGTGACAAGGGCACAGAATTAGTGTCATATCAGACTCGAAACATGAACTCTGTTTCACTCTCCATTGATGCTGCCAGACCTGCTGAGATTCTCCAACATTTTCTGCTTTTACTTCAAATTTCAAAAATCTGCAATATTTTGCTTTTGTAACTTATAAATGCTGACATCTGCTCAGTGTTTCCAAAGTTTTCAGCACACAGACTTGTAACAGTTCTCTCCAATTTCACGATATTTAGTACATAATTTCACAATATTGCGTACATAATGTAGTTTTAAAATGAACATTTTAAAATGATCAAGGGTCATGTTCAGCAAGACTCTTTAAAGTGACTTCTGAATGTAAACCTTTATTTCAGATTTTTCATTGGTTTTCAGAATGTTTACTCTTTCACAAAGTATTTGCATTTTATAAAGACTCATATATACACAGAGTAGTGCTGTGTCAATAGTCCTGTTTCAATAGGATTAGGCCAAGTGCATTATTTCCACGTTGTGACTTAGTCCATATCAATTTCTATGTATTGGCTTCCACATTATATTCTGAATAAACAAATAAACTTATTTTGCAAACTCAGAATATAAACTGAAGGCCATGCTTTTGCTTAGGTAACAAACTCACTGAAAACCTCTCATAATATCACATTTTGAGTAGATATATAATTATAAATAGTTTAATAATGCTAATTTCTCAATTTATAAAGCAATAAATAAGTATACAGAAAGCTAAAAACCATATGAAAATATAAAGCCAAAACAGAAAACCATGCTTCTTTTATAAGATGATGTAAAACTACATATTATGGCAAATAAAGGAATTGAGTACATAATTTATCCCATTCACAAAAACAGAGTCTCTTTATTCCCATAATTTATTTATGCAGTAGCTAAATAGTGAACACTCTCTCTATTACTTCCCCTTCACCTGGGCCTCCTGTGAGTGGACAGATTAAAAACCTCCATGGATTGTAGGTTGCTGATTACCTCAAAGCATCACCTTTCAGTCCAAGAAGTTTAAATCTTTCAGCAGGAGGTGTAGCAAAATACTGCTTTTGTTCTTCAGAGTACCTTTCCTCTACATCAATGATATCTCTGTAGGTCCAGTCTTGCCAGTGAAAGTTAAACTTTTCAAGTAATTGGATCTTTTTTTCATTTGTTGACACACAGTCTACAGGCAGCTTCTGCTCAAGTGCTTGGTCCTGGACATCTGGGAATATCAGCACTCCTCGTATTGCAAACCAGCCCCCATAGCGTGGATGAATGCAGACTCCATACATCTTCTGGAAAGAAACAATTTTTTTTTCTGTTAAATGCAAGGCTATTATTGTTCTATCTTTTCTCTTTTAGTTTCACAGCTAATGTGGTGCATAGATGACCAGCTACTAGATCTTTCTCAATGGCATTCTATAAACTGCCCATTGAAGACATTCAATGCTTCAAAAAAACATGACAGTTATTTCTTGCCTCTTGCAACAAATCCTTTTTCCTGTATCACTTTACAGATCTTCATGCATTTCCATGCCAATACAGACTTATTTTGCAGAACGAAGGAACTCATCCATGGCAGGTATGAAAAGCAACAGGTCCTAGACCTCCAAAGCCACTCCAACTATTTACTAGAAGTTGCGCAACCGCAGCTTAGAATCTCGCACAACATTTTCAGCACAAATTGACCTGCCCATTCCAATGTCCGAGATTAGACCATAAAACATAGGAGCATAAATTAAACCATTCAGCTTATCGAGTCTGCTCTGCCATTTAATTATGGCTGATAAGTTTTTCAACCCCATTCTCCCACTTTCTCCCCGTAACCCTTGATCCTCTTGACAATCAAGAATGTATCTATCTCCGTCTTAAATGTACTCAATGACCTGGTCTCCACAGCCTTCTCTGGCAGTGAATTACATAGATTCACCACTCTCTGGCTGAAGAAGTTTCTCCTTATCTCTGTTGTAAAAGATCTTCCCTTTACTCTAAGGCGATGCCCTCAGGTCCGAGTCTCTCCTGCCAAAGGAAACATATTCCCAACATCCACTCTGTACAGGCCATTCAGTATTCTGTAAGTTTCAATTAGATTCCCCCTATATCCTTCTAAACCCTATTAAGTATAGACCCAGAGTCCTCAAACGTTCCTCATATGTTAAGCTTTTCATTCCTGGGATCATTCTTGTGAACCTCCTCTGTACCTGCTCCATTGCCAATATACCTTTCCTGAGGTATGGGGTCCAAAACTGTGCACAACACTCCAAACGTGGCCTGACCAGAGCTTCAGAAGTACATCACTGCTTTTATATTCAAGTCTTCTCAAAACAAATGCCAAAGTTGCATATGACTTCCTAACTACTGACTCAACCTGTCAGTTTACCTTGAGAGAACCCTGGACTAGAACTCCCAAGTCTCTTTGCACTTCAGACTTCTGAATTTTCTCCCCATTTAGAAAATAGTTCATGCTTCTATTCTTCTGACCAAAGTGCATGACCTCACACTTTCCCATATTGTACTCCATCTGCCACTTCTTTGCCCACTCTCCTAACCTGTCCAAACCCTTCTGCAGCCTCCCCACCTCCTCAATACTACGAGTTCCCTCTACCTATCTTTGTATCATCTGCAAACTTAGCCAGAATGCCCACAGTTCCTTCATCTAGATCATTAATGTATAAAGTGACAAGTTGTGGTTACACTGAGCCTTGTGGAACACCACTGGTCACCGGCTACCATCCTGAGAAAGACCCTTTTAACCACACTCTCTGCTTTCTGCCAGACAGCCGATCTTTATCCATGCTAGCACCTTGCGTCTAACACCATGCGCCCTTATCTTACTCAGCAGCCACCTGTACGGCACCTTGACAAAGGTCTTCTTGAAGTCCATGCTGACTTTGCCCTATTTTACCATGCACTTCCAAGTATTCAGATATCTCATCCTTCACAATGGATTCTAAAATCTTACCCACGACTGAGGGTAGGCTAATCGGCCTGTAATTTTCAGTCTTTTGCCTTACCCCTTTTTAAACATGGTTGGCACATTAGCGATTTTCCAGTCCTCTGGGACCCTTCCTAAAGATCACCACTAATGCCTCCACTGTCTCTTCACCCATCTCAAGAACTCTGGGGTGTAGTCCACGAGGTCCTGGTGATTTATCCACCTTTAGGCTAGTTTTTCTAGCACCTTGTCCTTGGTGACGGCCACCATACTCCGCTCTGTCCCCTGACTCTCTTGAATTTTCGGGATATTACTCATGTCTTCCACTGTGAAGATTGATGCAAAGTAATTATTCAGTTCCTCAGCTATTTCATTGTTCCCCACCAGTATCTCTCAGTGTCATTTTCCAGTGGTCCAATGTCCACTTTTGCCTCTCTTTTGTCCTTTATATATCTAAAGAAACTCTTACAGTCCCCCTTTATATTATTGGCTAGCTTACCCTCTCATTTAATCTTCTCCTTCCTCATTTTTTTGTTGTTGTCCTCTGTTGGTCTTTGTAAGCTTCCCAGTCCTCTGGTTTCTCACTGCCCTTTGCCACATTATATGCTTTCTCTTTGCTTTTATGCTATCCCTGACTTGCCTAGTCAGCCATGGTTGCCGTCCCTGTACCATACTTCTTTTTCCTAGGAATGAATTTTTGCTGTGTCTCCTGAATTACTCCTAGAAACTCCTGCTATTGCTGTTCCACTGTCTTTCCTGCTAGGCTTCTCTCCCAGTCAATTCTGCCCAGCTCCTTCCTCATGCCTCTGTAGTTACCTTTATTCAGCTGTAATACCATTACCTCTGATTCTATCTTCTCCCTTTCAAGTTGCAGAATAAATTCAGTCATATTATGTTCACTGCCTCCTAAGGTTTCTTCACCTTAAGCTCCCTTAATCAAGTCTGCCTCATTGCACAACATTAAATCCTGTATTGCCTGTTCCCTAGTGGGCTCCACCACAAGCTGCTCCAAAAAGCCATCTCATAGACAGTCCACAAATTCCTTTTCTTGAAATCCACTACCAACCTGATTTTCCCAGTCGATCTGCATATTGAAATCCCCCATGATCACCGTAACTTTGCCTTTCTTACGCACCTTTTCTATCTCCTGGTGTATCTAGCATCCAGCTCCTGACTACTGTTTGGAGGCCTGTACATAACTAGGGTCTGGGGAGCATAAGAGAGGTGGGGGAGGTCTAGCTGGACAGTCAGTTGAATAATTACTCATTAGTTAGATTAACTACTTAATAGTCTAACTTTGCTTCAGTGACTACTTATTTCAGGGTAATTTCAGTGAATTTCCAATTCAAATGGAGACTTTGAGGAGGTCCCAGGTGTTATGGAATTGCACAGCAGAATGTTCAATTTCCCTGGCAATTCCCTCATGGGCAACCTCCGAGTTCAGAGACATCAATGACCATTTTTACAACTAGTGGATTACAAGGGTTAATAAGCAGTAAGGAAGGAAGAAGAGAAGACAGAAGACAAGAGACATGAGCCCACTCAGCCTGATTAGCAAACTCAAAGTGAACCAATTGAACCACTGCTTTTTTATCATTCTTTTGAAGTTATTGTGACAAACTTATTAAATTCTGTGAAATTTGTGAAAACATTCTTATATAATCAGGACTGAGGAACTTTTAGATCAGCTGTCTCAAACTCTGCTAATAGTTGTAATCAACTTGCATCTTATGATAAAATTAAATTGAACACTCTGGGCTTACAGTTGAGGCACAAATGCTGGCTGAATTAACAGGAGAAGTACCCTAGTCATCTTCAAATAGTTGCATTGAATCTTTTATATCTAGTAATAGACATTCTAAAGATAATGCTACACAAGTCATCAAACCAATAAATGGTCAGGTTTTCACTATTTTGTTCAAAATAACTGCAATTTGAAAAATATCTTCAGGAAAGTTTGTACTTTCTCCATCAATTCCACAAACATTATTTGGCTTAACTAAAACCAGATAATGAAAGCCTGTTGCACCCCATGAGCTTGCATTCATAATTACATAAACATTACAAAAGCCACACCAGATATAGGATGTTCTCACAATCCACTGTTTTGAACCAAGACAGTGGAAACATTTCACAAGTCAAGGTGGTAAGTTGGAAACCAGAGATGGGTTTGCAAACATAGCCAAAATCAGAAAACTGGAGGGTACTCAATAACAAGTAGAGCTACAGAAGGTCCTGAAGAAGGGTCACTGGACTCAAAACATTAACTCTGCTGTCTTTCTACAGAAGCGGCCAGACTTGCTGAGTTTCTCCAGCAATTTCTGTTTTTGTTCAATAAGATTGTGTCTGATCTGATTGTGTCCTTAGCTGTACTTTCCTGTCTGCCTCCTACCATTATTATTTACTCCATTGTTGATGGAGGGTTTCGGTGACTTGTGGTAGATTAAAGTAGCAGGTTGCAAGGTTCAATATTTTTCAAACGTGTTATAATGACCAATTTCAGAATAATGACTCTTCAGAAGCCGTTGCACAGGTATTTTGTTAAAAAAGAAACTAGTTTCCAAGAGACAATGTCCCTTGATGAGAAACCCAGAAAACGGAAACGTGCTGTTACTAGAAATCTGAGGGAAGAAAGCTTTCTTTACGGTTGTCAGAAACTACAAAGCTAAAAGAAAACCACCTTATGAAGAATCATTCAAATAAAGGCAATATACCGTGGGTGCTGAAAATCTGAAACAGACAGAGAATACCGGAGAAACTCGGCAGGTCTGGCAGCATCTGTGGAGAAAGGAACAGTATGAACGTTTTGAGTCTGGTATGACCCTTCTTCAGACCTCGTCAAGGTTTGGCCAGTAAAAGGCCAAATACAGACTGGAGCAACAATTCATAAGTCTAAGTTCCTATCTTATCAGAAATATTTTTAATGCATCATTCAAAATTTAGCAAATCACAGTGTTCTTTCTTCACAGAAGGCCTCACCCTTACTTTTTCTCCCCAGGGATTTTGCTGAACATCCTTCATTTGATAATAATAGGCTGCTGCAGCCACATGTGCAGCTGTCTGTGCCAAAATCTTTGGCTTTCGATTAGGAAACATCTCAAAGTCATGTATGGCTTCAATCCTGTGATCAGAGAAATTCTACAGCAAGAAAAGGAGAAAAATGTTTCTTAATGTACAAATTATAAGGAGCCAAATATCTGGCGTACAAAATACATAGATATGTATTTTTAAAAGAAAACTTGTTCAATTATTCACATTATCTCTTTAACAGCTACATAAATACACAATAGCCTAAACACAAATTTAGATTTAAATGGCACTCCACCAATGAAGTTTCATCTAATTTTGGCTGACCCTGCTCCTTTCCTCCCTTGTGGGCTGAGTCAAACCACCATTCACCCTAATACTTAGCTCTCTGTTATGGTTTCTAATTCTGCGTGTCCATGACAGATAAAATATATTTGGAAGAGCAATTAAAATGGAATCTGTGTTCAAGCAGTCTGAATTGAGGAATGCAGATATCTTAGAGGGTAGTCGGAAGTTGTAAAGATAGAAGGGGCGAGGTTCTTGGAGGTTTTTTATTATTCATTCATGGGATGTGGACTTCACTGACTGGACCAGCATTTATTGTCCTTCACTAGTTACCCTTGAGATGGTGGTAAGTTGCCTTTTGGAATTGCTGCAGTCTATTTGGTGTAGGTACGCACAAGGTGTTAGGGAGTGCCAGGATTTTGAGCCATTGACACTGAAAGATTGGCAATAGGGATGATGAATGGCTTGGAAGTGAACTTGTAGGAAGTGGTCTTCCCAACTATCTGCTGTCCTTATCCTTCTAGATGGTAGTGATCGTGCATTTGGATAGTGCTTTCTAAAGTGTCTTGTATCTGCAATGCAGTAGGTGGTACACAGTGCTGCTACTGTGAATTGATGGTAGATTGAGTGAATGTTTGTGGGTATGGTATTAGTCAAGCAAGTTGCTTTGTCCTGGATGGTGTCAAGTTTTAAATGTTGTTGGAGCTGTACTCATTCAGGTAAATGGGGAGTACTCCAGCACACTCCTGGCTTATGCCTTGTACATGGTGGACAGGTTTTGGAGAGTCCAGCTTTGAGTCCCTCACTGTTGGATCACAAGTCTCCAACCTGCTTTTGCAACCAGAGTATTTATATGGGTCAATTGATCAGTTTTTTGTCAACGGTAACCGCAGGATGTTGATATTGGAGGAGTCAGTGGTGGCAATGCCATTGAATATTAAGGTGTGCTGGTGAGATGGTTATTGCCTAGCACTTGTGAGGGACATGAATGTTAATTGCCACTTGTCAGGTCAAGCCTCAACATAGTCCACGTCTTGCAGCATTTGGCATGGATTGCTTCAGTATCAGAGGAGTTACAAGTCAATCAATATACCTACTTCTAACCTTTCTGATGGAGGGAAGGTCATTGATGAAGCAGTTGAAGAAGTTGGGCCTAGGACACTATCCCAAGGAACTCCGGCAAAGAGGTGCTGAGCTGAGATGACTGATTTTCAACAACCACAACCATCTTCCTTGGGGAAAAAAAAAGGTGAGAATTCTAAAAGTTGAACTTAAACTAAGAGCCAATGTAGGGAGCACAGGGTTACCCTTGAATCCTTGGTGGTGTAAGTTAGCCCATGGGTGGCAACGTTTTGGATGAGCTCAAGTTTATAATTAATAAGACACACGTGTAGTGCACTGGAATACTTAAATCTAGAAGAATCAAAGGCATTGATGGAGGTTTCAGCTGTAATAAGCTGTAACAGTGTTGGGCAATGTTACTGAGGCAGAAATTTAGTGATGGCATGGTATTGGAAAAAGCTCATTTCAAATATGGCACCTAAGTTGCAAATTATCTGGTTACATCTCAGACAATTGTTGGTTGAGAGATGGAACAATTGAACTGGAAACAGATTTGGTAGAGAAGACCAACATAATGGCTTCAATATTCCCAATATTTAGTCAGAGGTGATTTCAGGTCAAGGGGATAACATAAAATCCAACACTCTGAACCCCTAAGTCTCTTCAAATATCTTTTTAGTGAGCTACCCATTTTAGTTCCATGATAGTATAAAATTTAGCATTTCTCTGTTTAAAAAAAAACATCCTGTTGAAACTTTTATCTTGTACTCAACAGAACAGAATCACAAGAATAGCAAGTCAAGTCAAAAAGAATTGGTCCCTCCAATTATTGGTATTCTCTAAGAATCGGAATGTTTGAGATTCTGTCCTGATGAGATGCAAAATGAAAAAGTGTTTAGTATCCCTATTTGTTCACAGTATTAACTTTTGAAAACATTAAATGAAAAGGTGTTCTTTACTTTTTTCAGAAGTGTAAAATAATGAACAACACACTCATCTATAGGGTCCCGAACAGTGGCCAACAGCTTATCTGCAATGTAAGGTTTGAAGGCTTTCTCAAACATCTGAGGTGTACTGAGGATAACAAAGGCCAATGTGTCGTCTTGGTACTGAAGGTGAAAAGAGAGCTGTATGATAGCGTTATACCAAGCAATCTGTGAAAAAATAACAAAAGTAGTCATAGGCAAACTAACAGGAACAAGCAAGTGGGGCTAAAGAAAAGCAATACAAATAAGCGCTTTAAAAATTAAAAGTTTTCATAGGCCTACCAGACCATAAGACTGCTCTCTTATTACAGGTGATGATTCAACCTGAGGGTCACCATGCCTCAGGTGAGAGGAGAAGTTAAGGAGAGTTCTTCATGGTAACCTCAGCTGGTGCAGAAATTGAACCCACCCACCCAGGCCATCATTCTGCCTCACAAACTGGTCCTCCAGCCAATTGAGCCAACCAACCCCCCTATATTAAAAATTACCTGAATAATAAAAATAAGAAATCATGAACACATGTTTGGATGTCATATCACACTTCTGCCATACCAGCAGCTGCACAGCATTCAAGTATCTCTCACCCTCACGTATTTTTACAAAGAACAACTTACCATTACTTAATGAATTTTCTACATTTACTGAGTCCTTCAATGACAATGACATCCAAAGGTTGTGAAAAGCGGCTTATAAATGCTCTTTTTTCCAGCTAAGTTATTTAAATAGTAGTGAACATGGCGAAAATGAATGAAAACACAAATTTACAGAAAAGCTAAGATTTCCAGAAATTATAAACAAACCTAAACATGGTTGAGGGAGGGACAGGACTGGCAGCTCAATGTTCTGGGGTTTAAATGCTATTGGAAGGATAGAAAGAGAGGAAAGGGAGTGGTGTTTTGATGAGGGAAAACATTACTGCTATACTTAGAGAGGACATTCCTAAGGGATCACCCAGTAAAGCTATATGGGTGCAACCTCAGGAATATGAAGGGGGATGATCATCTTGATGGGATTGTACTATAGGCTCCTCAGTAGACAGCGGGAAACTGAGAAGCAAATATGTTATTCCTGCATATATATCTGATATATATGCAGGGATAACAGGGCTGTAATAGTAGGGGATTTTAACTTTCCAAACATAGACTGTGAATGCCATAGAGTTAAGGGGTTGGAACGTGAGGAATTTGTTAAATGTGTTCAAGAAAATTCTTTAAATCGATAATTACAGTGGCTCAGTGGTTAGCACTGCTGCCTCACAGCGCCAGGGACCTGGGTTCGATTCCACCCTGAGGCGGCTGTCTGTGGGGAGTTTGCACATTCTCCTTGTGTCTGCATGGGTTTCCTTTGGGTGCTCTGCTTTCCTCCCACAGTCCAAAGATGTGCAGGCTAAGTGGATTGGTCATGCTAAATTGCCGATAGTGTTCAGGGATGTGCAGGTGGGTTATGGGGAATGGGTCTGGGTGGAATGCTCTGAGGGTCGGTGTCGACTTGTTGGGCCGAAGGGCCTGTTTCCACACTGTAGGTATTCTATGAAGTAAATGTACCTACAAGAGAAGGAGCAAAACTTGACCTTCCCTTGGGAAACAAGGCAGGCAAGTGACTGAAGTGTTAGTGGGGGAGAACTTTGAAACCAGTGATCATAATTTTATTAGTTTTAAAATAGTTATGGTAAAGGATGGACCTTGTATAAAAAAGTTATTGGAGTAAGGCAAATTTCGATGGTATGAGACAGGAACTTTCAAAAGTAGACTAGAGTAGACTGTTCATAGATAAAGGGACAACCGGCAAGTAAGAGGCTTTCAAAAGTGAGACGAGTTCAGAGGTAGTATGTTCCTGTTAGAGTGAAGGGTAAGGCTTGTAGGAGTAGGGAACAATGGATGAATAAAAATATTAAGGCTCTGGTGAAGAATAAGAAGGAAGCATATGTTAGGTAAACACAACTGGGATCAAGTGAATGTCTTGAAGAGCATAAAGGGTGTGGGGCATTCTCAAGAGGGAAGTCAGCAGGGCAAAAAAGAGATATGACAGCCTTGGCAGATAGCATTAAGGATAATCCAAAGAGATTCTACAAGTACATTATGAGCAAAATAGCAACTAGGGAGAGAATAGGGCCCCTTAAAGATCAACAAGGTTGTCTGTGTGTGGAACCACAAAAGATGGAAGAGACACTAAATGAATATTTCACATCAGTTTTTACTGTGGAGAAAGACACGGAGATTAGGGAAATGGGGGGGAAAATATTGATGTTTTGAAAGCATTACAGAAGAGGAGGTGCTGGAGGTCTTAAAAACATAAAGGATAAATCTCCAGGACCTGATGAAGTGTATCCCAGGATGTTGTGGGAAGCTAGGGAAGAAATTGCAGGGCCCCTTAGCAGAGATATTTGTATCATCTACAGCCGCAGGTGAGGTGTTGAAGGACTGGAGGGTGCCTAATATTGTGCCTTTATTTAAGAAAGATGGTAAAGAGAATCCTGAGAACTATAGACCAGTGAGTCTGACATCAGTGGTTGATAAAAACCGAAAGAACTGCGGATGCTGTAAATCAGAAACAGAAATCGCCGCAAAAGCTCAGAAGGTCTGGCAGCATGTGTGATGAGAAATCAGAGTTTATGTTTCGAGTGGAATGACCTGCATACAGACACACCATGAATAGTGACTGAATAGGAAGGAAATGGGGACGAGAGGAGGGTTTGCTGCAGGTTTTTAGGGGCCTATCTGTCATCACTATCTACCCTGGTTCCATCAGGAAGCAAAGATTATTAGGCAAACAACCTCAAAACATTTCTGAAGGGTACCGACCCGAAACGCCAACTTTCTTACTCCTCTGGTGCTGCCTGGCCTGCTGTGTTCCTCCAGCTCCACACTGTGTTACCACTTACTCAAGTTAGCTTTACCTTGAATGGGGCACACTGGAAGCCGAGTGGACCCAACCACTCACTCAGCCGCTGATGTATTTCAACCGCCATAACTTCACCTTCCTGTGATGCAAGGTGCAAATACAACTACAACTTCCAAGAGGCTCTGCACCAGATGCTGTGACGCAATATCCGCCACGGGGCTGTACGACAAACATAAACTCCCAAGCAGCTCTGCGCCGTGCGCCGTGGCGTCACACGAACTGACGCTGTTTTAAAAACCTCGGGGAGCCGCTGGGGTGAGTAAATGGTTGCTGTTTGATACTGAGTGCTCCTAACGGCAGTTTGGCTGTAGGCAAGACCTTCTTGCAACAGCGTGACGGGCTCCAATGGAGTGATTGTGCCTCGTTAAATGTAAACATACCTAGTGTTTCCAGTCAAACATGGCGACACCCCAGCTGGTGAAGGTTAAAGGCCTTTATAATTAAACTCTTCTCAATTCTACAGAGTTTAATGGGTTTATACTTCCTGCAAAGTCTCTTCAATGTTGTCCGGTTTCCTGGCATTGCCGTTGTGTTGTTAATGGATTAATATCCACACAGAATCACTCCATTTGCAATAACGAGATCTGTATTCGCTACCTTTAAGGTACCTCTTGATGTTTCTTCTCTTTCTCGTCTCACTTCCAGTCGCCTCCTCTGGTTTGATTTTCAGGCGAATGCTACGGCACCAGATCTATCTTGTCAACGCTGTGGTCAGGCTGATTGTGCGACATCAACTCTGGAATGAGTCACAACTTGCAACAGTTCAACATAAGAAAGGGGCATAACGACGTTGACAAGTTAGTTGGTGGTGACGGTGGCAGATGAGGTTCAATGCAGAGCAACGTAAGGAAGAACATTAAAAAACAGTATAAAACGGAGATAGCAGGAACTGCAGATGCTGGAGAATCTGAGATAACCAGGTGTAGAGCTGGATGAACACAGCAGGCCAAGCAGGCTGACGTTTGGGGCCTAGACCCTTCTTGAGAAATGGGGAAGGGGAAGGGGAAGGGGGTTCTGAAATAAATAGGGAGAGAGGGGAAGGCGGATAGAAGATGGATAGAGGAGAAGATAGGTGGAGAGGAGACAGACAGGTCAAAGAGGCGGGGATGGAGCCAGTAGAGGTGAGTGTAGGTGGGGAGGTAGGGAGGAGATAGGTCAGTCCAGGGAGGATGGACAGGTCAAGGGGGTGGGATGAGGTTAGTGGGTAGGAGATGGGGCTGGGGCTTGGGGTGGGAGGAGGGGACAGGTT